AATGCATTCTAAGTACAAATCGACTTCATTAATCGTGGAAGATCTGTTAACTACTCTGAAAAAAAATAAGGTGTCATATGGAACTATTTATGGTTCTAGCTAGTTTAAAGAACCATCTCAGATTCTCAATAGTTCCGAATGTTTGAAAAGGTTCCGTCCTGCACCATTTTTTTAACGCTGAGCCATTTTCCCAAAGATGGTTCTGGCTTGAAGCAAGATACTATATTTTCGGAACGTGCTTTAAGTAATATAAATCTTAAATAGGTTGTTGAGGTCGAGGATTCCGAAAAGGTTATCATTTTTTCGATCCGAACTCTCAATGATCAGATATTAGGTTCATTCAAAATTCCGTGGCTGTAAAATTAGACTTTGTATTTCAACCCCGATCTCAATTCAGATGGACGTTTTAAATAGGTTATCGAGATCCAGGAATCCAAATCCGGCATCATCGATACCGAGCCTGAGGATCCGAGTTGGATTGATGAATATGAGTAGGTGTCTCTTAATAATCAATTCTATTGTACGTTATAACTTATAAAATGCGCTTATTATTTTATCTATTTCCATATATCACAATTATTAATAGAAAGTAATGCCAATCTGGTAAAATCAAGTCAATATGTTTTGTATTTAGGTATGTAGTAATAATCAATTGAAATGCAAGTTCACTATGATAAAATGAATTTATATTTTTTTTCTATTTAGGTATATGTGAATAATTGATCTCATGGTAAGTTCAATCTTAAAGTATCAATCACTCCTCTTGTTTTTGTTTAGAATCGTCTCAACAACAACTAACGGCGATTTTCCTTTCGTGCGAGTAAAGGAGAAAAGGCTGGCTTGTATTCTGCTCACAACAAATCCAGGTAAATATAACACATACGATTTAGCGGTTTAGCATAGAAATGAGGGTTAAGAATAGAATTAAGGGTTAAGGTTAAAATTAAGGTTAAGGATAGAATTAAGGGTGAAGGATAGAAATAAGGGTGAAGATTAGGAATAAGGGATTAAGTATGAAATTAACGGTTGGATAAAACATTAGTCTAGAGTACTAGACTAATTGAGTGCGGTGGGCTTCATTTTACTACCATAGAACCATTTTCGGAAGAAATAGGAAAAAGTTTCAGCTTGAACCAGATTTTGCTTGAACCTTTAATGGTTCTGAAAATGGTACCCAAACCTGGAACCCTAAAAGGTTCTGAGTATGAATTCATCAGTTGTATTTTTGTTCATTTCAAAATGTAATACCCCGTCTTTTGATAATTTAAGAATGAGAGGTAACAGATCGGCTATTTATTTCAATGAAATGAAGTGTATATGCCTCTATTCGATAAAAAATAGTGTGCGCGCTTAAAATAGAGCTTCTCAGCTGGTAGTGTTCAAAAACTACTAAAAAGATTTGGTGAAAAGCGGCAATATAGATCGTTATACGATGAATTGGTAACGTGGAGCTGAAAGGTAATGTCTGCTCTTTTTTAAATAGTATGAAGTTATTCTTACAACAACGTTTTAAAGCTGTCTCTATAGATCGAACAATTTAGACAGTAAAAATTATTTTTACAATATGAAATTGATGATTTCGAGGAGCAAGCAATATCAAACGAAATCAATCGTTTCACTTTGTATGATCTTTGACGTCTATGTTAAACTCTATTGCAGAAAATGAAAAATCGATAACTTTGTCTAGTCCAATATTACTCAAAGAAAAAATGTATTCTATTTTCAAATAAACACGAACTAACCTTAGTAAGTTCTATGTCAACTGTTACTGACTGAATCATTGTACCTAGCGATATACCGTAGAATGCTTGTCAAAAGCTAAGTTGTTGCAATGTACTCGAATCGTTGGATTGGCTAGGTCCTGAAAGACCCAGACGAAAGCCACCAACAAGCTGGATACTAGTCAATGTTACTTCAATAGTGGCGTCATGGCCAGGTAAAATGATTGTTGCAGAAACTACTCCATTCACATTGTTACAGGATGCCATGGGAAGTGATAGTGTTGTTGATCCGACAATTTCCACAAATGATACTGCCTGACACGATATAGCCGTGTTGAAAACATCTAACTGTAGTGTGAATACTTGGTTATCAAGCATATCAACAATTGGTTGTTCTTCGTCCGGCACAGGAATGGCAAGTGACTGAAGATTACTGTCGTATTGAGCATTTCGTAAAGTAGTATCGCAAGCAAATGAGGAATCGCCTACACTTTCGGCTGGATATTGTGAATAGAAGGAGCCAGCAAAAACATAGGACATGAGTATGATCACCAAAACGCATAATGAAACGATTCCACCTACCCATAATTCACCTTCACCCTTTCAAACTCAACAACATGTGATTGCCTATAATGAAAAATTAAATGTCAACTCTAAAACTTACGATAAGGTCCGTTTGTCGAAATATTTTCTTGATAGTTCTTCGCCATTTATCACTCTTTTGCGGGTGGAGAAAAAATGGAGTGTGTTCATAGCAATAACTATGATTACACCAACGCCTCCAACGATTAATGCCCAAAAGAGAGGCGATGCGACAATACAATGAGATGTCGAACCGATGGCAAACGAGTTTGATAAAACGATATCTTCATATGCAGTCAGCTCAGGTGAGCGAGGATATGCATAGGCCTGTGACTGAGAAGTAAGATACGTTTCATTGACTTCAAACACAGCGCCCCATGAGCAAAAGCTATTCGAGGAACAATTTATACATGATATGCATGGCCCACCACCAGGATTTCGTGTGCCACTCGGACAGAGCGAGCATGGATGAATACCAGAACTTGATTTGTAGGTACCTGCGATGCATGCGGTAGAGCTACTGACCATGGGTATTGAAGCAGTACCCGACAAACTACTGACAGAGGTTGCTGCATAGGTACCTGCTGGTGTGGCCAAAATTAGAAGAATATTTCCATTCACATCAAGTACAGCAAGAGACTCTGGAGTTGATACTGCTTGAATAAGTTGAGAACTGATCGTTGACGGTAATTGTTGTTGAATATTTGGTATCAATGATGAATATGATGAAGGTATTGTGGTGGTAGTCAACGATGTATAAAGGTAAATATTTGATGAATACCATGTAGAATGGTCAAGTGAATAGGTTGAGACAAGAACTGCTGCTTGAGAACTCGTTAACCAGGCCACACTCTTGCCGCAACCAACATATTGACCATTGCTCCCAGAGCTGGCTAAGCTTATACTAGAACCATTGTTGCTAACAACAAATAAAAAGACGGTATTAATAAATGGCATACCGACCAGAACCCGAGCTGAATCAGCGGAATTAATTTTCACCGACATAGTATATTGGCTACTCCATGAATCCGAATTGGAATAAGTCAAATATGATTGCCAAGTATTGTTCGTGGCCGAATAGGACCATCATGCTAAGATGGAGAGATTACTGTTCCGTAATACATAGACGGTAGGTGTTGCACGAACTTGAGATTGAGCTGAGTTCTTTAACAAACCAGCTACGACTGTAAATGTTCCAGTCGCATCAGCCGCAAGTGGATGAAATGTAGCATTATTCGGCCAAACGGGTGTACTCTGCTTGAGAGTGATATTACTCGAAGAAAATGGGTAATAAATGAAAATAAAATCCGTAGCCATACCGATTGCATATTGACCGTAAGGTTCGATAGCCACTACAAAAAATTCTTGATGACCATATGTAGAAATAAATTGAAGATTTTCTACTTGAAAATAGTCACAAGATATACTCTGTTGACTATTGACATAGGATTGTGTGTTGTTTGGATCTTGATTGACCCATATGCCAATAAATGTACCATTGTGACCTGATGAATCAGTGGCTGCCCATCCGTTGGGTATTTCGCCAGCAAAATAAAAGTACGGATAGGCACTTGTATTTTGATAGAATCCTACGCCTACCGTATAAACATAATGTGTAGTATCATCATAATCAATTGTGCATTGCAATGTACTTCTTGTGTAATTGTACGGTGAGAATTGAACCAGAAACGTCGCAGCTGCACTTTGTGCTTCGACCAATAACATATTGTTGACAGCTATTTTGACTCCATAAGCATCGTAATTGCTGGTACCAGGATTGAAATCACCATACACTGTATATTTGTTAAGGACAAGAAATAAAAGTACAGACCACATGAACAGTGTTTCACTATCTGCTAAAGTGAATGTTTTTGCCACAATGGTGTGCGTGGGTCTTAAATAAGCTTTTATTCCATTAAAATTGAATTATTATTCATCAAAATACATCAGTTCATTCTATTCTATTTCCGTTCTTTTGCCGATGCAATCGCATAAAGCAATTTTAATAAACTTAGCTTTGAGTATAATTGCTAACGCTACCATTTTAAAATCGTAATAGGAAAGATGGCCAGCAGCACTACGGAAGAACGCATTCCCGGTTTTATTTCATTCGCAGTATTCGATTAAAAGTCTATCAGTTGCATTCTACGTTATGGTCTGTTTTATGAGAAACCATGAAGGATATTATTCTGATCTATCAGTTTTCCTTATCATCTTTCAGTTACTATATTCGTACTTTATCTCTTCAATTGTGGATTTTACTTTTAATAAATTATTTTGTATTGAGAAAAAAGTAACATAGAAAATAAACCTGCCAGATAATATTTGCAGTGTGTCAAACGAGAAGATGATTAATGCAACTAGTTCATTATTTTAAACACATAAAGCCTCTTACATAACCATCGAAAAATTCATGTTTTCTTAATTTTAATCTCGCATTTTTTTGCAGTGTTATCAATCAAAAATATTAGCCAAGTGATGCGATAATTTGACGTAGTTTAGAGATTATCAAGAGTCAGTAGGTTACGATAATCGAGAATTCGAAGCAAGTGCGATGTACAAGATGATCTTGCTATTCAATCATTTTTCAAACATAAAATATAATACGAAAGGGTGTGGGTCTGGGAGTACATGAATATGCATGATACCTACACCAGCACCCGTGGGACGTGACGCGCATAATCTTCGATTTTATCGATACAATCGTACGGGAGTATTAGGGGAAAATATTGTTCTCCCGTCTCTTTATTAAATCACTACTTAACACGTATGGATACACATACACACAACGACTACACTACATCAGACCAACTAGAACAGAAAGAAACACTCGTGTATATATATATATATGTCCGGTCCGCACATCCAGGGTAAACCAAAGAGACAGCGAATCCAAGAAAAAGAGGATAATGTGATCGAAAGATATTGCAGCGAAGAAAGAGATATCTCTTAATATGTAAAGAATGACGTCACATCGATGAAACAGAAATGATACTAGGATATGTAAGGACAGACCCGTAACAGGAAGTGTTATAATCATGGGTGTCATCTAAAATAGAAAAACAGGAATTAGCGCATGTTATTTCTTTAATTGTAATAATCATACCTGAAAATTATCATAGTGAACTAGAATGAAGATAGCGGGTGGGAAGTGTTTTGAGCACCGAAAAAAGAGTGAAATGAGCACCAAATTTATCTAAGTGAAATAAGAAAATAAATTATGTCATTGGACAAAACAATGTGAAGAACACAAAAATAGTAATAAATAAATAAATAAATATTATGGGAACATGATTATTACAAAAAAAAATCATGACAACAGAGCAGTTCGAACTCTCTTCGATGTACCTTTACCACGTCGTTTACCCAACAATTGTAAGTGAGTTTTACCATTAACTTCGTATTTATTGAGCAGCATAGCCAGTCCAATTGAATGTTTGCATATATAATATTTTAATCCACTTGGACATGTACATGAATTTAATGGACATACAAGCCAGCAAGACTTCAACCAAGCAACGAATTCGTCAAATGATATCCACTGTTGAAGTTGATACATCTGCAGCCAAACAGCTGGTGTAATAAATGAATTCGACGATGGAATAATATACCAAGAATCGAACCAATGCAATATACGAAGTTTGTCGATGTTATTCGACCATTTGAATGCCAATAGTTCTAAATCAGTTGATATAGAAGGTTTACTAACAAAAATATTTGATAAAGATGCTGTTGACCAATCGTGCAGCATTTGTTCAATTTTTAGCAAAGCTGATGACATGTGAAGTTTGTTTCTCATTGTATATTTTTTTAAATTGTGGAATGTAACGATTCACAACCATTATTTGTTAATGGCATATTTAGCGCAGCACCTTCATACCTGTAAGTATAGAATATTTTATAATCCAACATTAAAAATTCATCATCGGAAGTTTTCTTACCATAGTGGTAATTTGTCGATCCATTGATCAAAAAAATACTGCTGAAATTGTTGAATAAGTGGATCAGTGGACCACTTTTTCATTACTAACGATACACCGTGAGTAAATATATTATCGGAAAAACATAATTGTAAATCATGCATATCAGTATCAATTTGTTGCCACTTATCTGTTGGAACTAATTTCCTATGTTTTCGGCATTTTCGAGCGACATGTGCCCAACACATAAGACGTCGTGCTTGAGGGAGAATCTCCTTTTGAGCTCTGGTTATTCCTAAATATAAAACTTTCAAATACTTAAAGAATTAAGATAGAAGTATATATTACCAGGTGCACCATCAGCCATTACGTAATGTACAATATATTCACGTTGGTTTTCTTGTTCTGATATAAGTTTTAGTTGCTTAAACAAATCAATATAACATGCTGAACCTTCATTCGCTAGATACTAAGGCTACACCGAATGGCCGGAAATGGCGATCAGCATCTGATGAACCAAATACTAATAATGGCAGTTCATTCCATGTACGCTTGTAAGTTGCATCCACTTGTAATAAGGATGATAATTGTGTATCTTTTAATAATTGTTTCGTTGTAAAGAATACAAAAATATCATTGATATCATTAATATAATAATAAGGTACAAATGTCGAATGGATTGAGTTCTCATCGTATTTATGATTAATACACCACTGATTAAAATCATAAACCGAAAATATTTCAGGATTATTTTTTCGTCGAGCATAGTTAATTAAATTCGATAATTGATTAGTTGGCATTGAAGTTGTTGGATCGTTCACAAATAATAAATTTTTAATTTGAACTTCTGTAAGATTGCATTGAACGTAGTTTGAAACTAATTCACGTACAGGTGATGGTGCACGAGTTGTTGTATTACGCTGTTCATGGCAATGTACATTTTTATACATTAGTTTAATTTCTGTTAGGTGATTGTTATCAACATAAACTTGTATTTCGATTTTGAATAATGGATATTTTCGATAATTGCTGCATCGATAAGAATATTTAGTGGAGCTCGATAAATCAGACGTTCGATATTTTGATACATTATGCTCCTTTAGAATAACATCAGCTTCGTCTAATGTTTTGACGATTTTTAAAATCTGATATTCTTTACTTGACATATTTTTTCTACTAACTTTTATTTTTTACACTTCTTTTATATACAAATCATTACTCCAATTAATTAGATTATTTATGAATTGTCATTGGATTAATCAATATGAGTAGAGCTAATCATAATTTAATAGCAAAAATACCTATTAACTATAATCTTAATTCGTTTAAAGCTTAATTGGTATATTTTGTACTGTTCTTTTCAGTTGGTGCTCATTTCACTCTTTTTTCGGTGCTCTTTTCACATATAATCAATTTGGTGCTCAATTCACCTTTTTTTCGGTGCTCAAAACACATTTCTTTCATATGAAAAACGCCGTACCCCTTGAGGGAACAATGTTGCCATATGGCAACATCCGGCTGGAAAGGGTTAAATAGAAAGAAACTATTTTCTTCAGTTTAATTTTGAAAAATCTTCGAAGAGCCATACTTGTCGTACTTATCTTTAATTATAATTCAAATTAAATGCATTTAATAGCTTATGGTTAAACTCAAGCAAAATGACTAGATAATCATGACATAGATATACTCATCGATAGTATATATATATATATATATGAATAGATTCAATATAAATTCGAATAATCTTTTGCAGCTATTCCTTTTTGCTATAATTCACACAATTGCTTATATTTATCATATGTTGTATTGAAGCATAACAAACAGCAAGAGAATGAATGCATTTAATGTGGTATGCCATAAACAATAACAAGTAAACTAATTTTGACATCCATTATTTGTGATGCATGGCAATTCTAATCTTTTTTGTTCAAAAATCAATTTATGGTATTTTATAGATGAGAAGTAATTATATATTTTATTTCGATTTGAATAAATGATTAAGATTATTGAAATAACTTATTTCTGTGAATAAAATTTACTTTGATATTACGCAATGACATGTAAAGAACAGGCCTGTATAAATAACATGAAGCTTTGACTTTCATAGGACAGATAGACGTGTACAGTTGTTCGTGCTTTATGTATCTGTCTAGCAAAACAGTCAGAAGTTCAAAAGAATATGTTTTGCGATGAATTTCATTTTCGGTATTAGTATTTGTAAAAGAGATTTTACGCTCTCCAACCATAATTTATAGTTATGTAAGGCAAAAACTCTTATCATTGAATATTCTTTTAGTAATGCAATCCTATGGTTTCATTCCATCAATCTATAGATATTGAGACATATATGATTAAGACTATTGTCATCTTTTTCTTGTGATTTGAAGTTCTCAATTTTGTAATCGTTTTTTATTGATGACATTTTCTCACATCTGAAATTAAAAGTATTGATCTAGTGCTCTTAAAACTTTGTGTCAAAACTATTATAATTATATGTAACCTATGTATGAAGATATTTATCGTAAATAAGAAATAAAGTTATATTTCCATCAAGCTTCGAATTTTCTAAATAATTCATAATTATCTATTTGAATAATAAAACATGAATGAAATCCAAACATATTTTTGATTGAGAAAGAATAATATATTAAGCGTTCCGTCTGATCCTTTTGTTTTTTGGAGTTATTTTTATCTTCAATATTGACCTAGTAAACTCTAATTGAGACATGAAATCGGAGTGAACAACCATTACAGCATCGTGTTTGTTCATCTGTATTTAGTTATTCTTAGATTTAAATGCAACGACGAAGCGTGCACATGACAAGCGAAGTAGACAAAAAATAGAGATACTGGCTGATTTAACTGTTTCATTTTATTCGTTGTTATATTATTGTATTGTTTGAAATGACTCGATCCAAGAACATGGTGACATTTATCCGATATTTTTCAGTTAAGTAAATAGATTCTTAACTAAGTTGATCTAACAGACAGAAAGAACGTCACTGTAGTTTTGTACGAAAATTTGTCATTCAGTATGAGTGACTATCGATCTAGTCAGAACGTCAGTAAGAAGATGATGCCACTTCATTATTTTCTCGATCACTCTTGTCAATCATACTACTATATTCAAGTTGGCAGTGTTGTATACATATAAAATGATCAAATGTTCAATAGAGTAATAATAATAAAAGAAAACAAAACAAAAAATGGCACGAAGAAATCTTATAGTCTACGCTAGTCGTTTATAAGATGATCTAGAATGAGTAATAGCAAGAGCTGAAAAATGTGCGAGAATGAGAAAGAAAAAGAAACTACTTTTCTCGACGTAATTGAGTTGTGGTGCCGATAAGAAGTGTTCGTATTCGCTGAAAAATGAGGGACAAAGCAAGAAAATTTCTCTTTTATCTTGTTGATTTATGCATAAGGTGATTTGGTATTTTTGTTTAGATAGGAAAAATTACGACTATCGTTAATTTTTCATGATTCATTTTTATTTTTTGCATCGTTTTCTCGTATGTTCTGCGAAACTTTAGAAATGATTGTCGTATTATTTATCGATGCTCATGTTTATATATAATTTATGGGAAATTTTAGAAAAGGGAATAAAGTAAAATAATACGGCATGGCAAGTTACATAAGATGAATACAATGAGTCGGTGTATGCCGGCAAAGAACAGTAATAGTAATAGGGAGGAAATTTCTTAGAGACGATATCAAGAACGGAACTACAGGCTTTCGATTTTTCTCGTCTTCTTTTTTTCTTCTTCTTCGTCGTCTTCTCTTCTTCTATTGCAGTAGCATTTCTTGAACAAGTACAAATAAAACTGAGTCCTGGCTGCTTGCTTCAGCATCGGATATAGAATAGAAAGCGAGAGAAAATCTCGAGCGACACGCAGTGACACAAGAAAAATAGAAAGAAAGAAAAAGAAGAAGATTGCCATCGAAGAACGTCATTATTTATTTATTCATTTGCTCAGTTCATCATCTTACTGTAGGACTATAAAAAAAAGTTTATACACTTCGTCATTCTTAATAAATGAACTAGAACTCCTCTTGTTTCTGCATGAACTCAATATGAAAATTTCTTTTGTTCACACAAAGTATATAACCATATGATTTCGCTGAAAACAGGTAGCAATGAACCTCGCATTTTTTTCTCTCGTCGTCAACTGTCAAAATGAACACTGAACAACAACAATATACTCATGGATATTATAATAACTGCACTTGGTGAACTGGTTTGGGCATCATCGTATGTATTGCAAGTTAGAATAAATCAATATTTTTATGAACCTTTCAAATTTATTCTAGGTGTGCTTTAGTAAATTTTTGTCTGACTTCCGGTCTTAGTGTTCTCGCCGTATTCGTCTCATTTCTTTGTGCTATACTTGCATCAGCTTTTTATAAATATTCGGCAAACCACCCACAACTGCCATTTGATGATTCTACATGTGCTCTTATCAATCACGTTGACGAAGATTTAGACAAGTCTGATACAATAACATCAACGACAGAACAAACCATAGAATCATCATTACCATTAATCACAACTGACAAAGCAAATAATACTACTAATATTGGATCATTATCAGACATTGACATATGTTTGGAAAAAAATACAGATGAACATGAAGTAGATAGCGAACAAACATCAAATATGTTAATTGATTCAATTGAAGGTTCCGAAGAAGAAATTCAAAAACAACAAATAGCTAATATTTATCGTCTATTAAATGATCAAAATTTAGCTAATAATTGGACAACAACTGATTTTCTTGATCAATTAAAAATGTACGGATTTCAGTCATATGAAGAAAATGAACTAGAATTATCTTAAATTATATATATTTACATACTTCATTTTTTTCTAATGAAGTATTGTACGTTGTAGCCATTGTTTAGACAAAACTTCACACCATTTTAATGTAATTAGTATACTGTTTGCAATTAGAAAAAAAACTCTCACGTTCATTAAATGATCTAAAAAGATTTCTATATCTGAAAATATAGAAAAAAAAATGTTTTCGACATTTTATTCAACAAATAAAATATTTCATAGAACTTATTCCATGGCTTTTTTTTCTATAAGAGTAATCATAACAAAATTATTCTGGTGAATGCATAAAGAACTTAATATACTAGTATGTATATTCTGCTGTTAAAACCTTGGAATTGATAATTTAAAGAATGAAAATGAATTTCAGCTGTATATTTAGAAACTTGTTACTTTTAAGGTAACGAAAAAATTTCCATTTACATCAAAGAAACTTTTTTAATGGCCTTTTTGAAAGTCTAAAATCCATTGAACCAGGATATTAATATTTATATTTAATTCATAATTAATAATTCGAGAAAAGCATTTTTGTTTTCATTTCCTGAAAGATATTTGAGAGTTTACCGTCAATAAACAATGAATAATGAAGCATTCCAAGCAGATCATGACATCAATCTTTTACTTGATGTTTAAGTTTTGCAATAGTTATTTTTTGAAGAAGTTATTTTTATAGCATAAGTAACTGGTGACGCAACTTAAAATAGCCAATAGACAATCGGTTTTTGCAGCATTTATCAGTGGTCTTTGAAGTTTGTCTAAGGCTAATCGTATAGAGAATTTTCTTCGCTACAGAAATTTTTTAAAAGCATAATAGTGCATAATATGGATAAGCAAAAATGGAACTGCAATGAGAGCAACAGATTATGAATTCTTTTGTACATGACCTAGTGGATTATTGAAAACTACGTCTGTTACCTATTTATTACAGGTAAATTTTGTCAAGAATTTGTGTTCATATGATTACTTTGCATTGATAAATAAAACTTTTTTCTAACATTCAAATTGATGAATTAATTAATTTACCTAATATTGTCTGCATTCAGTATGATTCAAAGATTTTATTCTGATTGCAGAAAATAGGAAGAGTAGCAAACAACATCACAATATGAACGATAGTATTCAATCTTCGGAATTGGTTAATAGCTGCTTCTTTTCTCTCAATGGCAACATTATTTCTTAAAAAGTGGCATGAATATCGAAAAGTCACATTAATTTTGATGTGCAATTACATTTTCACTATGTATCTGTTCTTAATCTGCGCTACTTTTTGGAATCATGCAATCATATGCAATGAAAGACATCGATGAGCATTTTAGAGCAGAAAATTCACTATCTGATTAGCCAAAGATCAACTCATTGGACCACTGATAAGTAGTACTTCAAGGACACGAAACAAAATTGGTTATTTTACTTTGCGTCACCGGATATGTATAAAAAAAAAGGTGGTTGGTATCAGCTGACGATTAATTGGCAAAAATAAATCAGTAAATATATCGGAAGACAATAGAATAGACTTGCTGGCATAAACTTTGCGTAGGCGACTATACTCCATAATAACACAGTCTATAAACTTTCTTCCTAACCACCGGCTTTCTGTAAAACCTATTCAGATGCTAAACAAACATATGTGTCATTTCATGATCTCGAGATCGCCAAAAAAAAAGAATTTCATCATTTCCAATTCTCATTTAGTCACAAGAGTATCTTTTTCTTTTGCATATTCGTATTCAGTTGCTCTACTAACATAGAGTAAATCTGTTGTTTGGTAGTACAGGGAAAAAAATCTTCATGGAGATTCTGTAGGCTCAAAAGTTGTGTATATAGCTCACCAATTATTTCTACGAAAATCCAGTTCCTATGAAGTTGTACTCAATAGTTTTTTTGATATAAACTTGCTTAGACATACTTTTGCCTCTGCATGACTTTATTCTCTGTACGAAACAAAAATCGAATGATCGGCTATTTATCGCGAGTTTCGATTAGTGAACTTTATCTGGAAATTATTAACGCTTTATAAATAAATCTCTAAAGTAACATCGAGATAAAATTCAGCTCGTTTAAATTGTTTACCTAATTTAATGTGTTCCAAAAGCACAACTTATTTGTCAAAACAAAATAAACAAAGTTCATATAACTTTTAACTTAACCAAGTAAAGTTGATGTTTTCTATTCTAACATTACTCTTCGATCAAAATATCCATCTATCTATATTTATAAATCATTAGAAAAGACATGAATTCCTATTGAAACCATTTCTCTTTTAGTTCGATAAAACATGATTAAACAAGAAAAGAAGTATTGTAAATTGCCCTTTATGTTGTAATAGAAAAGAACATTGGAATGCATTTCCCTTCTTCATACAATTTATTGTTGTATCCTTTATTTTCAATGAAGTAAAGATCAATTAGCGAAACATATCCACAATAATTGTTTATATGACTTTCAACTATGATTCTATTATTCATAAAAACAAAAACCTTGCCTAGTTGTTAGATCACATTTATTTCTTCTCCACTACTTAATGAATTCATTATCATTCAGCAATCAACAATACTCCATTTGTATGTATGTGTATATAAAAATATCTTGATAAGTATCTATGCATAGATAGATATTTGTTTGTTGAATACTCTTAACTGTACTCATTGAGTTCTTCGGGCTACAAGCGAGACAACATAATTTTAAATTAGAATAACTATGAAACATTTGATATTCTGATGAGAAGTTATATTTCAAATCATAATAGAATGCTAAGACTATTTCTTTTCGTTTTGTGTAAAGTTTTAAATGACGAAGAGTTCATTTTCATTTCATTAAAGATTTGTTTTAAAGGCATACGTTAACTTTTTTGAAATCAAATGAACAGAATATTACTATACGAAGAACAACAATGAAAAGAATGAAATAAGAAGAAACAAATGTGCAAATCTGACCCTCACATGTATTTGGCAACGTGCGAATACTTCACTATCTATCGCTCTGTCTTCTTACAGACAATAGAACTATGTAAAGCAGCAAAAGAATAATTAAGAAGAGAGGAAAAAACAAGAATACGACAACAACAACAAACAAACAAAAGGACTATGGATAATCATACATTTAAAAACAAAAGATATGATAAAATTAAAAAAGAAAAGCAATGAACATAACCATGTGAGGCAGATGACAAGCTTCTGATGAAAACGAAAACAAAAAAGAATACTACACACTACAAATAATATTATAATATTTCATTTTTTATTTTTCTGATAAAGAAAGTAAAAACATACAGGCACATAGACACATTGTATACAGAACAAATAAAAAAGAAAAGAAAACAAGGCAAGCACTTAGAACTCTGTATATAAGGTAATAATCATTAAATATTTAAATTAAAGACCCGTTTTTGATACTCGTCGATCTAAGCAATGATGTAAACTAGATTAGATCCTATTTAGAGATCAATGAACAAAAAATTGTACCTGCAAATCCAACTAATTTTGTATGTGTAGCAGGTATTTCTGATGATAGTTGCTCTGATGTTGTATCATTAATAATTGGCTCAATATGCACAATAGTTGGTAATGTTCGTGATGTTATTGGATAATGTCTTTCACGATACCATTGAACAGACTTTTTATCAAGTACAAGTAACTCAAGATCATCACGCCCCATATGGTGTTTTATTTTATCTAAGATAGTTTCATATATTAATCCATCAACACTTGAACCATTTATTTCAATAACACGATCACCATCACGTAAACCACAAACAGCTGCTGGTGAATGTTTTGTTACATCCGAAATGAATACTCGACTAAATTGGATCAATTCATTTTATGCTAGTGACTATTAAGATTAGAACATAATTTACCCGAGTTTTTTCGGATCACCACATAAGAAAAAGCCATAGAATGGTGATGTTGCAAATTTTCTTATACGACAAAGACGTGCAACTGGTGCATCTTGTGTTGAAATATCTGATAATTTACTTATTGAACCTTCTGCATAATAAGTAAAAATAAAGTTATTATAAGAATATTTCAGAAAAAGAAATGAACTTACTTTCTGATGAAATTGAAATATTTTTTACTAGATGAATACTATTTGGAGAAGCCGTAATTCCTAGATATTAAAAATAAAGTCGAACAAATAAATATAAACTAAATGTATACCTGTAGCGAGTACAGGTACACTTCCACTAAGAGCACGATTAGTAACATGATCAAGATGTCTCAATTGTCCATGTAAATTTGGATAACTTGTAGCAATTTTTTGTTGGTTAAGACTATCAAATGGACTAATTGAACTATTCATATCAGATAGATCATCACCTGAAACACCTTCTCTATGTTGTGAATGATTTGTTCTTTTTGCTGTATTATTATTATTATTCGTATTTAATAAACTACTTGGACTTGTTTGCTTATCAACATCAATTGTTGATGGGTAGGCATCACGAGAAGAACCTCCAATGACACGCATTTCGATCGTATCATTTGCTCGCATCGCAGAGACAAGCATTTCAACTACCTAAATAAGTAAAAAAACATTTATTTTTGTTTTCATTATTATTATTATTATTACTATCATTACTAAGCACTTTTTTAGAATAAAATTTATATATCGAATATAAGAAGTATGTACCTGCTCATATTTAACATTTCTTACATTGACACCATCAACTTCGAATACTTCATCATGAACTTGCAAACCAGCAATATCAGCCGCTGAGTACTGTTCAAGTGAGAAAATGAAATATATATATATAAAGTTATTAAACTAACTGAATACTAATGTAGTTTACTAACCTTTTCAACAGCTGTTATTGTATGATCATAGTCACCGGTGGCACTAAGAACAAAGCCGAGACCTTTGTTACGATCTACTTTGAGTACACATCGGCGAGGATTTCTAAGATAATCGAATGATCCAGTCGATACTGTTGAACGAACTGTATCGTGAACAGTTGAAATAGGCGCAGTAATTGTATTACTACCAGTCGTATCAAATGATTGTGAAACACATGACTCTTCTAATCGATTAAGTCCAACACGAATAGTTGGTGGAGAAGGTGCACGTGCTTTTGAATTAGCTTTTGTTTTTGGAGGAGTATCATAGTCAGCTACAGGAAACAAAAAATGAAAGATAAAAACAAAATATAGATTCTTATTTCTTGTATCAATTTCTCAATTGACAATTACAAAACGAATAAGATCCTCGGTCGAATTCGATTTATCTTTCTAATGAAGAGACAATCTGTACGTATTCAATGATTTCAAAATTTCATTTGTTTTATATTTTTAACTTTTAAAAAATCCTATTTGCAGCATTTTTCCCGAAAAATAAATTTTCATTTAATCCTTTCAGAAAAGCAAATTATGTCACACTACAATAGAAATACTCAAAACACAGATTTTCTTTTGAAAAATATGATACTTTTCTCAGTTATAACTTTGAACACTGTCAACATGTCTTCTACTCGATATCATTTAAGTTTGGCAAGCAAGAGAAAATATTATTCTATAATACTACATAGCAATACTAATTTGCCTGAGAATATTCTATTCTAATAAAACTACACTAAAATCATATCTATGTGATGACGTCATTATATAACCTACCGTGATTGTGTTGTTTCTAAAGATATGTCAATGTGTCGATCAAAGCCGTGCAATATAGATATTTTTCTTTTCTCTTTTATCTACAGTAATCATTGTGAAATAGAGTGCTCCAGCATGCAAAAGGTGCATTTGTGGTGTGTGTGTGTGTGTGTGTACAGTGCGAAAATAAAAATAGAAATAAGTAATACTAATAGAAATAAATATAGAAAAATCTACAAAAAACTACGTTTCAAATAAAAATTGACAACAATAGTAATACTAATTAATAATGATACGAAGAAGAATATGTCAAAGTAGCTACATGCAAAGGAAAAAAATTAAGAAAAAAAACTGATCACGAACGTTTGGATGATTTTGAATATCCGATTTTATGAAATAAATTATTAATGGCATTTGGTATAGATTTCGCTTTTGATGGTTTTGATTCTGTAGCTGATGTTTGATTTAGTGAAGTTGTTGATCGTGATGTAGTAGGCGCATTTTGATCAACAGCTGAAGAAGCACCTCGTTGTTGAGATGTGACTTGTGCAGGATCAACAAATTTCAATGGTGATTCATGTGAATGAGCAGCAACATTAGGAAGTGTATTAGCTGGTGCAGATAGATCAAAACTAACTGCTGGATGTGACTGACGTGCTGACTTGGCTTGTGATGCGTTCAGGGAAGATGATTTTTCTTCCGGTATATTTTGTTTTTCATTATGATCATCGTCATTCTCAGAATCAGTTTCTCTTGGTACCGCAAGATGATAAGTAGCCGCTGTAGTATCGTATGATGAAATACTACCATTAGATTTTATATTACTATTGCTTAACTGCTCTGTACTATCTCTTGGTGACATTGAAGATGGTGCTGCCACAGCAGCAGCACTAGGTAATTTATGAAAACTTGCTGATGACCTACTTTTTGGAAAGATATGCTTCACTTTCATTTCCGGCTCTTTTAACGGCTTTTTCATTCGTTCACAATAATCATATGCTTCTTGATCAACAACAAGCATTTCTAATCGTCCATCACGTTTAGCTTTTTCAATTTCTTTTTCAACTTTATCGTAACCTAAACCTTTTGTTTTACGTTCATTAATTTTTAATAATACATCATGTGATTGTAGACCAGCAACGTCAGCTGGTGATTGTGGTTCAACACGTAATATTATTGGATATTCATAATCGGGATCTTCACTTAATTCAAAACCAAATGTTGCCGCTTGTGTACCATCGCCATTAGTTGCAAGTAAATGGCAAAGACGTAATGTATATGATAATTCTTTATTTCGCTGTTCTAAAAAAGCAGCAAAAAAAAGAACAAAAATACATGCCGAACTAAATACTGAGCAAAAGCGATAGGAACTGGTGAGCAATGGAAATAAAACTGAGCTTCCAGTCGCAAAAAAAAGTATAGAGGCAAACAGACAGGATCAGTTTATAAGCCAAGAGAAAAAAAGAATAATAAATGAAGTAAACTTGCCTTGAACACGCATCGTGAATATTATTTTAATTATTAAAAAAATTTTTTTTTTTTTTTTTTGTATATTCAAAAATACATGTTTACGATGATTATAGTCTCTTATTTGCGATTACGCTCCGATTCTAATTTCTTCGTAGTAGTAGTGCTGCCGCCGGCAGAGGAGGAGGAGATGGCTCGATCTTAAACGAGAGAGATAAAACGAAAAGAAATTATTAGAATATGTTTGTTTATGGGCAATGCAATAATTGCAGCGAAAAAAATTAAGCCAATTAGTGAAAGATGACTGTTGTTTTTTCTACTGAGTAAAACTGCATTGTCTCATGTTTATGAAGTTTTCAAAAAAATAGCCATCAATCAGTTAAGAAACAATCAATATATATATACGGTTTTCCACGTAAATTATCCTTCGCATGGAGAACACAGGTTAATAAGCGATATTTTCATCTAATTAATATTTTTTATTTATTTATATTAGTAGGTAGCTTGAAAATCATGATTAGAACTTGTAGCATTGCAATTTAAAATTAATATTCATGGTCTTAAGTTATCTCTGCTATTTATTATCATTCTTCTATCTTTACTAGGATTATATAAAGCACGATCTAGCTAATTTCGTATTAAGTAATTCAATAAAAAGCTGATTAAGCTTTTTTGTTGCGCAAAACAAAATAAATATGAGACAATGCTCTATAATTCATTTCGAAAATAAAACTCTTCATTTTTTCTACTAGTTGATCTCATTCTAGCCTACAATAAGGAAGCTATGTGTTTATATATGTGCAATGGCGTTTTTAAATATAAAAGAGAAACAAGCGGTATTGATTTTCATCCATAATAATAAATTTCAAGAGCGTGTAAAAAGACAATATGCCTTCACTAATCCCCTATCTATCCACAACGACAGCAGCTTACTGAATAATATGCCATTCAAAATACAGAAGGAGATAAGGATATATATGATTGTGAAAATTGACCATTATTGATAAAATGCAGTAAGAGTAAGAAGAACAAGAAGAAAAAAATTCAATCATATATAGAATAATCATCTGAGTAGGTGTTTAGAAGATTTTCATGCAAAGATATCTGTGAGAATTGTCAAGTGATTTTAAAAGGCTTTTGCAGCTAGAAATAGGCTCAATAAAGACAAAAAATTAATCGTTTGAAGCATTATTTCATGTGGTTCTTTATTTTTACATACTTTGATATTCTTCAACAGCATTGGCACCTTGTTGACTTGGTTCTCCTCCAATGCTTTCTTTATTTCCTAAACTACTGTTATCGATGCTACCCACCGAAAATTTTGTTGGATATTGATTATTGGTATTATCTTCTGAATTCGATAATTTTTCTCGAACAACAAGTTCAACGTTCTTTTTTTGAAGTGCTTCTTTAATTAATTTAACTGTTTCTTCATAGGTAGTTTCAGTTACCAATTTTCCATTAATAGATAGAAGAGCATCGTTAATAAGTAAACCAGCTTTCTCAGCTGGAGAACCACCTTCAACTTGACATATAACATATGGTGGCGCAGTTTTACCGCTCAGAGCAAAACCAGCTGTGCGATCAGCAGATGGTTGTAAAATACAAACACGAGTAGCAGGTTTAGAATTCGATGAACTTGTAGATGATGCTGGTGCAACAGGTGCAGCTTGTTTATTAGATGATGATAATGATTTACGTTGATTATTTGTTTGATCATTTGATCCACGAAGACTACTCGATGTTGATTGTTCAGCTACAAACAATGAAAATATAATAATTATAAAGCTAATTAGTCAATAGAATTGATTGTTATTCAATAGTGACAACATGCAAAAAAGGTTAGTAATGATATAAATGTGACATGCAAGAAAAGATAAGTATTGATTATTTTATTTCATCTTATTTTTCTTTTACAGTGAAACATTTTTCAAGATGCATTAAATAGAAGATGAATTAAATGAATATGCAAAATGAACACATAATTTTATATACAAATATGAATCAATAAGATTTCTTCAGAAAAAGCCAACGAAGATTTGCGATGAAAACAAAAAAACACAAAGAAAAAGAAAAAAGCAGAATAGTTAGTCATATATATATATATATATATTAAAATTAAACATGCGTGTTATATCATGCAAAGAAGAAGATATATTAAATTAATTTTCTTTTATCATATATTTTTCGTTGATATGCGTATTGCCTACTTTTTTCTGTTCGATTATCGCCTAATATTGGTTTCCAATTAATGGAATTTTTTTCCTCATAACTTTCATATCGTGGTATGTCAGATTTTTTCATTAATATTAAATCAATATCCATATTTGCTACTGATAATTTTCGTATAATTATTTTAACATCATCATGTGTTAACTGTTCAACATTTTTCTTATCAGCATATAATATAATATCATCTTCACGCAGACCAGCAATATAAGCTGGCGAACCTTCTTCGACTTGATCAATTAAATGAAGACCATTTTGATAACGTAATACAAGACCAAAGCCATTATATGTTGGATCTTTTCGTAAAATACAATGTTTTATTTTAACTGATCCTTTATCATCAGTAAATAGAACACGACGATGCTTTGATAATTCATCATTTTCATCTTCATCGTCATCAATTAGTGATGGTGGTGGTGGTGATAAAGATTTACTAGGTGAAATTTTCAAATCACTAATTGGATCACTTGAGACAGGTTTGACCGGTGAACGAGAACGACCTGTTGAATCTAATCATAAGAAAACCGATGAGTGTAATTTTGTTCAAAAATAAAAATAAAAGCAATTCACCACGTAACCTACCCGATTCTAATGATTCAACTGTTTCATGATTGAGGGGTGGTGAATTCTTTTTATCATGTGTATTACCTTCGGTTTTAGTTTGATTACGTTTGACATTTTCAATTAATTCTATATATTTTGGATCATTTACAACTGTTAATTGTAAAGGTTTTTTTGTTTGCATCATACGACGAACATCTTCATGTATAGCATGTGTTACATCAACGTCATTAACTGTTAATATACGATCGCCATCACGTAAACCAGCTTTATCAGCCAACGATAATGGTTGTACATTACTAATAAAATGTGTTTGGACTTGGCTATCACTTTCTGGAATAAAAGAATTGAAATCTAATCCTAATGCTTCTTTTAATACAATAAGACGTATATCTCTATCATCGTATTCTTCCGATTCTACACAAGAAAAATTAAGAGTATAGAATGAAAAAAGAATAAAGATTGGCACATACGACTTTCTTCTAATGATTTTTTTTCTGGTTGACTAACTGTATATTCACGCGTTGGTGAATGACTTGGTGAACGACTTCGTGAACGTGGTGATTTTGTTAGATTTTCATCAGATATTGGATTTGTTAAACCAACTGAATATGGGCCACCAGGCGCATTAGTATTTATTTCACGATTCGATACTGGTGAACGTTGAGAACGATTTGTAGGTGGACTTACAGATCGATCAGGTACAAAACGAACTTGATTATTATCAGGTGTATCACGTGTGATGTCTGTCGTGAGTAAGGAGGCTGGGATTTGTCCTAAAATTATAAAGAAAGATTAAGGTTTGCTTCTTTGTTTTTATCTATATGAAAAATAATCGAACTCAAGTTTACCTCCTTGCTGACGACTCAAGGAATCTGCTCGTGATGAGGGTGATATTGGTGTTGATTCTTTATCAATCTTTCGAATTGTTGGTGGTGATACTGATGTTTTCTTTCGTGCTATAACCATATTAATTAAACCAGCATTTGTTAATAATTCACGAATATCGTGCGATACTTGAGAAAATTCAGTTGTACGTATGTCAGCATCTTCAATTTTAATAAGCCAATCGTTCACTTTAAGACCAGCTAAATCAGCTTTTGTACCTTTAGCAACGGCTGTTATAATATACTGTAATGGATCTTGTTGTTTAGTTAATTTAAGGCCCACAGGACTTGTTTCAGTTGGTTGCATCAATTGTATATTATGAAATTCATAACCATAATTTTTTAATTCTGATATCGGCATTTTAGCTAAAAATAAATGATAAATTAATAATGAGCGTTTAATAAATAATTATGAAGAAAATAAAAAGATATGGAGAATAATAAAAAGTTGTTATATCGTACAGTTCGGAGGAGATAGGTAAAAACAAGATACACCGCAAACAAATGTAGTATTAGTAGAGAACCGTATATCACCAAAGTAAACATGCATATACATATATTTATATATACGCCTCACCGAACATCATTTTTTCTGATGGTACAGGTGTGTTTTCACTGTTAGATTCAATTGATCGATCCGAATCCTCATCACGATAGTTTTTCAGCTTTTGTTGTTGATTTAAAGGTTTAGATAAAGATTGATCTTGTTTATTATCCAGAGACTTGATTGGATTGATCGATTGTTGTAGATGAGCAGGCAATGGTTTTGATTGTTGATCATCAATATCATTCATATCACCCATGGATTCATCAGGTGAATAAAATGTATCTCCAATAGATCGTCTTGCATTATGAGAATCAGCACCTGACGTTGTATCTTCACTGTCCGATTGTTCTAGACGACGAGCTTGTACGATCTGTCTGTCAGTCGGTGATGGTACAATTGATGGTTGATCGACATCGGGCATAGGTGCAGACAATGCTTGTTTGTTATTGATATCTTTAGGAAAATTCAATTGTTCATCTCCATAATCAGGTGTCGTTTCTGGTTTATGAATACCTGATACAATAGGTTTTCTTAATGATTCAGAATATGGTGTGGCTATATTGTCACTTTCATCACTCAGAACTTGTGAAAGTTTGTTCGGAAGAGGTTCGGAAGTATCATCTTCAAGAGATCTTTCTGATATATCAGATAGATCATCATCATCATCATCATCCGTAGCATTATCGTACATAAGCAACGGTACATTGGCTTTGATAGGTTTACTCGGAACACTCATCGACTTCGTAGGAATTGTATTAGAGTCAGGTGTATTTTCTATTTTTTTTAAATTTTTTTTCATTTCTTAAAATTATTCACATAGAATTTCTAAAAAACAGACTACTCACCTAAACGAAGATCAGATTGATTTGATGGAGCTACTTGAGAAGTTTCTGAAAATAGAACAAAAATAAAGTTATAATACATTATTGAAATATAATTCATAGAGAAGTGAACAATTCAACAAACTTTGCTCATAATCAGGTGTTGAATATGATGTATCAATAGGTACAATGGGTATAGCTGCTGGAATATTTTGAATAGATTGATTCTGTCTCGATGAAGGTATATCGCCACGTGCACTTGTTGATGTTGTATCAGAAATTTGTAAAGCTTTTGGTGAACTATCTCGTTGTTCGATGGATGACGTTGGTCGCGATGAAAGATTACTTGGTGGAGTAGGTGAGATATTGCCTGTTTGATTAGTAATACCAACTTGTAAAGGTTTAAAACCATCTTCTAATGTATTACCACGTCCTTTTGTATCGTCAGTATCTATAACAAAAAGAAAAGAAAATAGATGATTTAAAATTTTTTGTATCTATGAAGTGTCTTCTTTTTTTAAATCATTATTTCACATATGTATGTTGAAGTAGTTTGAAGAAGGAGAAAAAAAACCCTAAGTGTTATTTACATTTAAAGGTTATTCTTATGAATATTTCTGAAAGGTCATGTAAATTTTATGTAAAAAATTTGAGATTTGAATAGAAATAGTCAAGGGAATACTGATGATATATGAACTAACCTGGTTTTCGACCACCTATATTTGAACGTACTGATGAATCGCCACTAATAGGTGCTGGTAAATCGGATGATTTTCCATTGGATGCGCCCCATGATGATCGATCAGCTGTAGCTGGACCGACACCTTGTAAAATTTGTCCTTGTTGTGATTTTGTTGCATATCGATCATCATTTAATTGTGGTGAAAGTCGATCATGTTTTTCATCTGTTGTTGTTGTTGTTGTTGTTGTTGTTGTTGAAACTGTTTCTCTTGGTCGATTATAATTCGTTTTATCATTCAATGGTGATTGCCGATCATTAGAATATTTATTGTAAAGTTCTTCCAATGCTTCTGCAGCTCCTGTAGTCGATGGAATATTTCGTCCAGATATATTCGATGATGGTAAAACTTCAGCTGTAGTATTTGATGGTGTATCCGAATATTTTTCCGATGGATCTGACTGAGTATTACTTAGTACTGCATTTTTTTGACGTGATTTAAGTAAATAAGATTTCTTTGCAACAACAAAATCAAGATTTGAATCATTACGATTTTTCTTAAGTGTATTTAAAACATCTTCATATGGAATATTAAGAAGTGGCGTATGATTGAGTGATACAATACAATCATCTGGTTCAATACCAGCACGATTAGCTAGAGAACTTGGTTCAACATGCTTTATAATATGACCAAAATCTTTATCAGGTTGTAATGATATTCCAATTGTATCAATGCCTGGTCGAAGAGTTAATGAACACATACGTGGTTCTGGTCTTAAATTGTTATTGGTGTCTAAATAACAATATATACAATTAATATGTCAAAAATAAAATAGTGAAAATTTTATTTCATGCATGTTCATGCAAAGAAAGAAATCCTAGTCACATAGATAAGCAGTATCCATAACCAAAAGCGTTTTTTTTTGCTTTTAAATTGATGATTTTTCTCATTTCCTACCCTCCTGCTGACATGAAGCCTGCCATAGATTCTCATACGGTGGTGGTGGTTTTTCTTGATCGTTACTATTTGAAGCATTGTTTGGTTTTGCAACTTCATCTTTGTATTCGTTTTTCAATAATGGTGATTCATCAGTAGTGGGGTTTCTATCGATCAGGTGATCACTACTTTTACTTATAGAATCATCATCATCATCATCATCATCATCATGTTTTGTTGGTGGAACAGATTTAGCAGCTCCAATATTTGGATTAACTAAAGTGTCAATGCCATGATCGATAATACTAGCTTTATTTTTATTTTTATTATCATTATTATCACCGGTACGGGATTTAGACGGAGTCTGTGGCGTAGAATCTTGTGGTTGTTGTTGTCGATTTGTTGAAGGTGATTTTTTCTCTTGATGAAAGAGAACATCGAAAAAGGACTTGCCGTTCTCAATCGCATGATCTGTAATAGGTTATTTTTGTTTATACAATGTTTAGTAAACAAAGAGAAGGGTTAAGAAAAATAAACAATCATAGTGGCTGTTCACGTTTGTACAACAAAGCTTCAGATATTAATCTGTGGTTATTCTGTCAAGAGAAAAGAAAAATTAAAACTTGCCTGAATATGGTAAAAATGTATAAACATCAGGCCCTTCATGTGGTAATTTTTCTTGATGTTGTTGACTACTTGTTGGTTGATTTTGATTTAAAGGAACTGTTGGGCCAAGATTTATGGTATTTTGTACTGCGGTTGGATCGGCATTACTGATCGTGCGCCATTGATCATATAGAAGTTTTTCTGGACTTACAGTTAATGTTGGTGTTTCCATTCGAACACATGTTCGATAATTTTCATCGATATTTAAATGATGACGTCGAGCTAAATCTGCACTATGAGGATCAAGTACTAGAAATCGAATTTCATTATCTTCAAGTTCATGTTGAATGAATGAAAGTATAACAAAAAAGTCGTCATTTTCAACGGAATGACCATTCACGGAAAGAACAACATCTTCACTTAATAGACCACCACTTTCAGCTGGACTATTTGGTTCAACATCGCCAATACGTAAACCAAGCCAATGTTGATTACGAGCTAAATGAACACCGTAACCTAAAAGGTAAAAACAAAAATAACAAGTAAATTGATTTTTTATTCTACTGCTTTTTTTTGTGTACCGTCATAATGAGGCCACTTCCGTAATAGGCATAAACGAGGACGAATATTTGCTAGCTGTTCAGTATCATATTGAGATTGTTGTTGTTGACGAGATGTTGATGATGAGCGGCCTGTTTGACCACTTGATGCAGTTAATGACGGTTGACTGTGATACGCAGTTGATTGATTTGCTCCAACTTGCATCATACTTGTTTGCGACGATCAATTGTTTTTAATAAAAAAATTTCGACCGGGGAACTGTTTATTCTTTGTCTCAATTAACGACTAGACGAATCGACAAAAGGTGATACCATCAACTAGAAAAATAAATGCAAATTTTCTTTAGATGCATTCAATAAATGAATAAAAAGTCAAGAGATATTGTTTTTGTTTTTCACTCAAATATTCGATCTCGACTCGTATATAAACTAAACTCTACAACAACTCATTTATCTTCTCTTTCTTCTTTTGAAACTGACTAATGCATATCTACTTAATTTCTTTTATCTCTATTTAAGAGCTACAATGCTCTAAGTAGTGAATGAGAGTCAGAGAGAAAAGTGCATACAATCTAAGCTGTTTAACCACTTGACTTCTAAATGCATGAAAATATAATGAAATACAAAAAAACAAAATTGGTGAAAATGTGAAGAATTTATTTGAAAAAAAAAACATCATCTTTCACAGTTAAAAATTTAATTCGCTTGTTGTTGTACAGACCTGTATATACTCCTCGTTTCTACTTCCCCACAGCCATTTTAAAACCCTCTAGCCCACATTTTGAAATGTGATATCCTTGAAATGTGTATGTGTCTGCTTGCCTGCCTGCTTGTCTATGTCTATGTGTGTGTGTGTGTGTTGATCAAAAAAGAATCAAATGATGAGTTGTTGTACAGAACATAAACTACAACAGGTATTATTACCAAGTTTTTTCCTATCGATCTGCCTCTATTACTACTACTAGCCATCAAAATATGCATATGTATCTCTAATCGTCAGACACGAAAAGCGAGACAAAAAATAATGCAGCAAAACGAAAATGCTAACCGATGCGCTTCAATAACTTCTCTCTAGCTTTCTTTATCTTTTTTCTTTCTCTTCGTCTATATTGTTTTTTCTCTTCATGAAACGTACGAAGGCCATTTATTGAAAGTGCACCCGACGTGTCGTCGTTTTGCTATTTCGATTTTCTCTCCTGCACTCTCCTCTTCTTTTCTGTCTCTCCATCTCTTTTCGGTTCGCTCTTTTCCCATTTCTCTCTCTCTCGCGCGCGCTCTCTTTCTCACACACTATTTTATTGAAAGGCCATTACCTTCTAAATAATAGCATCATCATCATCATCGCCATATAATATATTTCCCTTATTCACTTGTTTCTTCACGGGTAAAAAAAGAAAATAACGTAGAAAAAAATAAAAAAAATAGAGAAAGGGTGATGCTTGTTATGTACAATTCTACTCTCTATTAAAACAAAGAAAGAACAGAGTAAATTCCTTTCTATATATAAATTTAAGTGTCTTATTTTTACTCGAACGGCACTATAAAGAACATTTCGTGCCATCCAATGTAATCGCAAAAGAAAATGGAATATTAGAAAGATGAAGAGATAAAATTACTTCATCGAACGAATGAATGTAACAAAAATAAAAAGAAGAAGAAAAAAAACCGAATAAATGGTAGAAGAGAGAGAGAGAGAGAGAAAGAGAAACAGTGAGATAGAAAATTCCATTTGTGTGATTCGTCTTCACTACCATCATCACTACAATATAATCAAATTGCGCTAGTACTGATGATCATGTTAGTAGTGATGCCGTCGATAGTATATTTACTATTACTATTCAAATGTCTTGTGTTTAACCTTTACTTCATTTTCCCCCTTTGTTCCAACAATAGATAGAGATATGGCACGCTTCAATATGAACACAAATACATATATATATATATATATAAATGAATACATAGGTACATACAAGAAGACAATCAGATTTGTCTTAATAACCTTTTAAAATGATTTCCTTTAAATCGATACTTTCTTTTATCACTAATTTTCAATAAATATTTTCAGTTATCTTGAATAATGGACATTCTTAGATGAATATATGTGAAAACTATTACCTAAATGATTGTTTTTACACATTTTTATTTTCAAAGAGTAAAAACAAAAAAATCCCTGGGCGGTCATATGTTTTGTTTTGTCTATTTTGCTATCGATAATAATGTACGCATACTATCTAATTATTATTTTTTTGCTTTAAATGTATTCATTGGCTTTTACTTAATTGTAAGAATAACTACCTGTAAACAGTTTTCTCGTATAGAAAATATGTAAATAAAAAAAACAAGAAACTATCAAGTTTCTCTCAATCAAAATGACAAGACGATCATAATCTTGATAGAAGTATTGATAAGAAAAAATATGTATTCAAAGGTTATTAGCAGCCGCAACTAATCACTGAAAATGATTCGCCTATTATCTGCTGTTACATGAATCATAATGATTTCTTAAATACAGTCGTGTTCAAGGTTTTCTTTGTTATTTCGTACGAATTTTGAATATGAGCACAGTTATTTGACTGTTTTATTTTCATTAAAGAGCTGTTATTGTACATGACTAATAACCTTGTGATAGATGGTGATATTTCATGCATGTAAAATAATGAAATGAATATGGACGGTCACTACAAAAAAATTTAACACTTTGTACTTTCCGTATAGAAATAACGATCTATATCAATTACTAAAAGAAAAATGATGAACTGTGATCGTTAAATTATAATTATATTATCGTGCTTATTTTATCTTATATTAAATTTTCTTTTAGTCGTATTTCTATCTGTTGAAAACTATATTACTAATACTTTCGATATTTATCACGCAAACAATCTATCATCACGAAACTAGTATTTCGTCTATTAACGTCGATTTTCATACGATTAATTAGCATTAGTATTAGGGTGTATCGATATTTTTTTTATAACATACCAAAGAAAAATCATCATCTGATCTCAATCTACTTGAAAATGTTGTAAATAATAGAATGAAAAATGCAAATCTTCTTTTGTTGCTGCTTACCGCTCGTATAGATTTTATTATTAAAGCTCTTTATGATACGAACGTTTTTTTCCTCGTATATACTATTACTATTGATACTGCTCTAGCTCATTAATCTTTCTGTTCAATTTATTATTTCGTTCTATGTTCATTCTCTTGTCTAAAGCTTACATATACGTAATCAGGTTAAAGTAGAAATAAGAATTGATTTCTTTTCAAAGCAGTAATGCAATCGAAAATAAGTAATTAATAGACGTTGACTTTTGCTGTAAATGTTGATTTACTTATCTATGAATAAACTATTTTAATTATTTGGAACTATTTGATATTATTTTCAAACTAATCTCTATTCATATATGACTTTTGTAGATGTTAAAAGTTTTTTTCCTTCTTTCATGTTAATACTTCTACAGAGATTTGTTCTCTCTCTCTCTCTCTCTATGTATATATATATATACATATATTTGCTTCCAGTATACGTTCTGTTCAACTATAGACAGTCAACTAAGTCAAACAACACATCCACTTCACTTTTCTCTTCTTTAGTCTACCTTTACACACACGAATGCATACAGGCATGCATGCATATATAAATGCGGGTCAATAGAATTGTGCCACTTGCCAATGTACAAACGCTTCAAGGTGTTATCCTATTGTGCATGTATGTGTGTTTGTATCGAATAGTTATATACAGTCGAATTCAGTCAAGCATCTCTCATATACTTAAAGTCGATCGTCAGATCATCATTGTCCTTTTTTTATGCCTTTCGGGAGAGGATGGATATATATACCTAATGATCGAATTAGAAGAAGAAAAGAATCACATTTGTTTATATAACAGTTCATTTTTTTTTCTTTTATTTTTTATATTTGCAACAATAACAAATAAGTGTAGTTGCGAGATTACTTTTTACACAAAAAGAGACAAAACCAAGAAGAAGGAATATTGAAACAGTTCATACATATATTTCGATTGATCACACACACACACACATACACGTATATTTATTAATGATTTAGCATTGGCACCAAAAAAGCAATGAAGTAAAAATTGAATGGGTTATCTTTTGCACTTGATAGAGCAAAACGAACGACTTGTTCATTTAAATTGATAAGACAAAGAATAGAACAGTCGCTGTCTGCATTTCTAACCACTTAATATGAAAATTTATCCCACTGTTCAATTTCGTATCGCTAGTAGTGGTAATAAAGTATCAATCATAAATTCGTAAAAAGATAAATTTGTTTCTCTTGTTTTCTCTCTCTATCTTAACAGTAATCATGGACAAAAGGCGTTATTCTTTTCTCACTTTCCAATAGTGACTTACGTATGTTGTACTCGAATATAGACAAGCTCCACCGAAAAAATCAAGCACGCAGCTTGTTTTTAACCGCACATGATAGATGTGAAATAAATCTTAACAATGATATTTTATCATGTACACTCGTCCTTTTCTTCTTTAGTTACTTTATACAACCACAAAAAAGTAATTTCGACAAGGAAGAATTAAAATGTACTGATACGATTGCTGTCATTATTCTTTTCTCTTTTTTTTCTCATTTAGTCTTATTATCTTACCTAGGAATGATATCATCATTTCATTTTTTTTTCTTTCGTTAAAAAATACAAAAGAAAAGAAAAAAACTCCATCGAAATAAACATAAAATAGTGTATAGATTGTTATGTATAAAGAATTTCTGTTCACACGTGAATGCAATATTACACACGAACTAGTAAAATCTTGAGAAGCAATAAAAATAAACTCCGATCATAAAAAAATAAAAAACAAAATTTTTAACTTACTGAATTGATTTCTATATTTGTCGAGATTTCACAAGTTTATTCTTTTGCTGCACTCTTCTGTAAAATACTCAAGAGAAAATTAGAGAGTAATGATAATGGCAATGAGATTCATTGATATGTCGTTGTCTTCTTCTTCTTCTTTTGAGTCTTTTTTTTCAATGCGAACCGATCAGTATAAGCACGAGTATGAGAGTATAGAAGACAGAGCGAGCGAGAGAGAGAGAGAGAGAGAGAGAGAAGTATAAATTTCAATCGAGTCGTCGATGTATGTATATATGTGCATGTACTGTGTGCGGCGTGTATGTAATTTGATGCTGTTCGAAGTAAACGCAAGGAAATCTTAACGAATTCGG